CATCTCCTGTAGTAATGAAAATAAAAGCAAAAAATAAACAAATGAGACCTAATTAAACACAAAGGTTTTGCATAGCAAAGGAAATCCTCAACAAATTGAAAAGACAACCTACTAAATGGGAGAAAAATATTTGCAAATGATATGACTAATAAGAAGTTAATATCCAATATATAACAGCTCATACAACTCAACATCAAAAAAAAAAAACCCAAAAAACCTGATTAAAAAATGGGCAGACAATCTGAATAGATATTTTTCCAAAGAGGAAATACAGATGGCCAACAGGCACATGAAAAGATGCTCAACATCGCTAATCATCAGGGAAGTGCAAGTTAAAACCACAGTGAGGTATCACCTCATCTGTCAGAACAGCTATCATCAAAAAGAACACAAATAACACAGGCGGATGGTATAGTTCACTGGTAGAGTATGTTTAGCATACTCGGGGTCCTGGGTTCAATCCCCAGTACCTCCATTAAAAAAAAAAAAAGAACACAAATAACAAATGTTGGTGAGGATGTGGAGAAAAGGGAACCCTCTTACACTGGGGGTGGGAATATAAATTGATGCAGCTACTGTGGAAAACAGTATGGAGGTTTCTCAAAAAACTAAAATTAGAACTACCATATGACCCAGCAATTCCACTCCTGGGTATATATCTGGGAAAAAACCCCCACTAATTCAAAAAGATACATGCACCCCAATGTTCATAGCAGCATTATTTATAACTGCCAAGGTATGGAAGCAATCTAAGTGTTCACTGACAGATGAATGGATTAAGATGTGGTATATATATATATATACACACACACATATATATATATATACACATACACACAATGGAATACTACTCATTCATCAAAAAGAATGCAATTTTGCTATCTGCAACAACATGGATGGACTTGGAAGGCATTACGCTCAGTGAAAAAAGTCAGAGAAGGACAAATACTGTATGATATCATTTACATGTGGATTCAAAAAATAAATATTTGTGAATAAAACAAAAAAGAGGCAGACTCACAATTATAGAGAACAAACCACTGGTCACCAGCGGGGAGAGGGAAAGTATGAGGGGCAGCATAGGGATAGGGGAAAAAGGGTTATTATGGGATTATATGAAATCACATGTGTGAAATTTTGGAAGTTGTAAAGCACTATAGAATTTGAAGAATCTTTCATTCAATAATAAATAAAAGAGAAAATAAAGGCACATTTATCAATACATTTCAACAGCAAAAAAAAATCAGCAAAGAAAAGACAGATCATTTAGACTATGAATCAGTGTTGGAAAACTGATTCAGTATATGAAGAAAAATAAACTTGATCTCTACCTAAAAAAACAAACTTCAGAAAGAATTAGAGATATCAACAGAAAGATAAAACTAAAAACCTAATATATGAAAAATGGTGGAGAATATCTTTGTGAATTTAGGGGGATGAAGGGTTTATTTAAAAAAAAATTTAAGGCATAAACCAAAAGAGGAAAAATTATTGGACTTGCCAAAAAAAAATAAAATTAGTAATTTTTATTTAACAAAGCACATCACAAAGTTGACAAATTAGTAACATATAAGGAAAAGATACTTGTCTTGAGTAAAACCAACAAGATAATAGACTACACAAAGAACTCCTGCAGATCAGTTTAAAACAAAAAAAGTGAACTGCAACAGAAGAACAATCCTAAGACATAAATATTCAATTCACAGCAAAGGAAATGAAAAGAGCTAACAAATACATGGGAAGATATGCAACAACATTAATGACCAGGGATACATAAATTAAAATAACAGTCAAATACTTCTTATGTCCATTCGATTGGTTCAAAACTGGAAAGTCAGATAATGTCAAGTGCTGGAGACTATCTCGGGAATTATGAGCCCTCACACATGGCTGGTGGGAGTGCAGACCGAAGTACAGTTATGCAGTATTATCTGACACTATTTATAGTATGTACCTGAGAGAATTTCTCACACAAGTTCCAAAATGATCATGTACAAGGATATTCAGGCACTTTTTCATTACAATGGAGATTTCAAACCAGGTAGATGCATGCGACATCATACCATGTAGTGGTCAAAAGCAAAGAACTACATGTACATACAGCAACAAGGACAGATCTTACAAACAGTGTGAAGGAGGAAATTAGCACTGGAATGAGATCTGTAGTACAACATCACTTATTTATATTAAATACATAAACAAACAAACAAAAAACCCCACACTGCATATCTTCCAAGGGTACATACGTATCCAAGGAAAAATGTGATCTGCATCAGAGAAGATACTTATGGAAACTGAAGGGCAAATGGGAAGGAGCTTGGGGGAGATGATGGTATGATGTGAACTGAAAAGTATGATTATCTCAACTGTCTGGACCTGAGGTTAAAAATGAAATCCCTCTAGTGGAAAAGTTTATAGAACATTATTTTTTAATCTGCTAAGACCAACAAGGAAAGGTGCCTTGTAAAAAGGAAAAAAAAAAGGGTCACTGAACTTTATCTAGAAAGTAACTTTCTCAAGGATAGACAACCCCTACTGCCTCATAAATTCTGCCTCATCTAGGGAACAATTCTAAATGTTAAGTATTTCTTTAGAGGCTCTCTTGTAGAATGGGTATAGGGGAAATTTGCATCTCTAAAACAATGCATAAAACATTATTAACAGCTAGAAGAAAATTGTATGCCTGTTCAGGGCTAGTTTCAGAGAAAAGCACTAGGACAGTGACATAGCAGTCTGGAGAAGTGACTAAGTGCCATTCACTGTGCACATAGGCAGCACCCACTCTAGGAGATTCAGCATATTTGCACTGAGGACAATTCTAAAGGCTTAAATATTAGAATAAAAAACAAGTGCATCTATCTCTTTATTCACTTTATTTCTAATTTTGCTATTAGCATCCATACAATGTTTAAATGAAAGGAGCATTTGAATAGTACCTTCTGTTTCAGTGATTCGCAGCTATTATCATAAAGCTGCTCAATATACAAATACACTATCTACAACTTCATTTCCAAAGGAATTTCCTGACACATGTAGTATGGCCCCTGGATCTACAGAAGGGACTGGAAATTAATTACAGGCCTGTGAGCTCTGCCCTCTTTAACTCTGAAGGCATTTGCATGGTGCTGGGGGGTGTCGAACCAGAGGGTTGTAGATCCCTGAACAGCATTTGCTGCTTCTCTCCTTCCAGCCCTGTATGGACTGTCACCAGTGCATTACTAATTGAACATGATGGGCACTAGGTTGATTAAAAAGAAAATTGCATTCTACTTATCAAATGCTGATTAGCATAAGTAGCACATGTGCTTCCTTTCTCTTGCCCTATTCAATAAACATTTCATTAGAAAAATGAATTCTGTCACTTGGGAGATGGGGCTCTAACTTATAAACTTCTTACTCGGCATGTAATATTCAGAGGAACCTGATATATAGTCCACAGGGTGTGTGGTGCTATATTTATGTGAAAAAATTCCCCAAGCAGATCCTGGTGAATATTTCCCCTTTTAAATTAGAGGAAGTAAAAAAGACAAAATATATGAGGTCCTGGCTCCAGGCTGTGAAGAGCAGCTGACCCAGGCCCCCTGGGCAATAGACCAGAACCCTCCTTGGGGAGGGACACCAGAGAGCAGGTTGCTCCTCTCCGAAGACAGTGGCACGGTGGGTGCCAGAGACCTAGACAATCCATTCCCTGCTGTGGCTGCCTGAGCACTGGGCCCAGTCTCCAACTGCAGCGGGAGCAACTTTCCAAATGCCAAATTTCCGTGAATGCTTCCCATGCCTCCCATGCCTTCCAAAAAAAGTTGGAGAAATGGAAGTGTAAAGAAATTTGGTGAGTAAAGAATTGACTCTTTGCTCTCTGTTGTAACTGACACATTTTGACGTGTCTGCCTGGCTCGCCATGATTCCCTTATTTCTGGAAACCATTCTCCTATCCTGCCTATCAACATGGTAACATGGCCTACACCTCCTGCGGCAGGATCTTTGTTGATTGGATGAGGGAGTCACCTGTCTCAAGCTATTTAATTCCTTCCTCAGATTTTGGAACTGGGTCAGAGAGGCAGCAAGCTAAATCCCACTGGTACTTGGAATAATAGCATATATACCATATTCCACCACATGGACCACAGAGGTAGAGAGAGCTGGTCAGAGAGAAAGCAAGTCAGAAAGGAATTAAGTAAAAAATACCTGGAAAAGAAACACAGAAGACCCAGGCGTTTTACACTTCAGGTTCAAGATGCCTCCTGCATCCATGCCCTTGAGTCTGAAAGAAAATTCTTGGATTCTGAAATAGCCATCCCACTTTAGCTTAAACCAGTTTGACTTCGTTTCTTTTCCATGAAACCACTGAGTCTTAGGAAACATTTTCCTTCCAAGCAGCTCAAAGTGACTGAAAGAGAGTCCCAGGAATCATCAATATCAATGAGAAGCTAGTGCCAAGACGTCCACGAGAGTTTGGAAGATGGAAAGCAGATGGCCAGGCAGCAAAGCAGAGAAATTACAACTGTCAGCAACTGCAGAGGGGAAAACCCAAAACCAAACCAAAACAAAAGCCAAGTGGATTTGTGCCACAGAACCCAAGAAGAGGTCAGGACCCATCTCCTCTTAGCTGAACTTTAGTGATGCACTTCTAATTCATCTCCCTGCCTCTAGTCCAGCTCTTCTATAATCCACCACTTATTTGCATTTAGAATGATGCAGGTGTTGGCTAATGCTAGGGTGGTAATCATTTCTCAATGTGTAAGTGTACCAAATCAACACCAGTTGTACACCTTGAACTTACAAAATGTTATACGTAAATTATACTTCAATAAAGCTGGAAAATAAAATAAATATCAAATAAAATGTTCTCTTAAGGACACAAAACTCCCTCACATTGTGCACTAAATGTAAGAGTTAATTTGCAAGGTGGCATTTTTAAATTATAGGCAATATATAAGTGGATCTTCTGTATATAATCTTACTATAAACAGCTGTACTGCAGTAAAATCTATTAAAATTACTCACGAGAGATCAGAGCAACCATTTCCATCACAGTGATTTTCTAAGACATCACAAGAAACATTCAATCACGCACATAATGATGTACTGCTTTTGAACTTCTACTAAGCCCAAAAGTTACCACAACTTGTTTACTTGACAGCTCAGCCATTAATTTCAGAAAGGCTAAAATGAATAACCACCCAGGTTACTGTTGCCTTGCAGGAATCCCTCTGCTATAATCTCATAGTTTTTTCACCTAATTAATTTCCCCTTTCCTTGCACCAGAGTTTCATGAGTGTATCTTGTTTGGAGGAGATTAAGAGTCACACGCTTCATTAGCAAGGTGTAAATTATCAGTGAGGCCCTCTCCCTCCACCTGCTTAATCGGGTTAATGAAGCACCTCTGCAGGGCCTTCCTAGTGCCGCCCTCGCCATGCTCTCTGCAGGTTTCACCTCCCTCGGCTGCTTGAAAAACAGGGAGGTGTTTAAAGGTGCTACTGACCTGCACTGTTTCCAATAAGGGAAACCTTAACTCTAGAGTTCGGTTTAGCTTTGGTCCTTTGAAAGACAAAAATGTTGCTTGGGGAAAATTACCAACAGGTGTCTTTGCTTTTTCCTTCCTGTCCTCTGCTGTTTTAGAGAATTTGCCACGGGTGGAGCTTGCATCAACTCTTGAGATTAGGACTGTGACCATCTAGTGTAGAGTTCTAATCCCCTTCCAGGGCTCTTGAATATCAGCGTGAATGCCAGCAAAGTAACCTTCATCATCATCGTTCCTTCTGGTTATCTCTGCTTTGGGGATCATCAGGGTAACTTTTCTTTTTCATCACTTCTAAATTCTTGAGTGTTGACTTAAAACCTCTGCCAACAAGTTTTTTAAATTATGATACTTCACAGTGAGCTATGCTTGAGCTGGTCATTTCTACAATATCCTTACTCACAAAGGATGTTCATGGTGGCTCTTTAAGCCCTCTGGCTGATCTGCAGTGTGCTTATCTTAGACCTGTAGGACAAAGCAAGAAAGCTACAAGTGTCTAGCGAAAACACTTACTGGAACACTCTTAAATGGGCTTCTGTCTACTCTCAACTGCACTCTTTCCTCATGGGTAAAGCCAGCAGCCTCAGTTTCCTCAGGTCCACATGCAGCTGAGTGATAACCAACCTTTGGGGCCCCTCTCTGGCATTCTCTCAGGCCAAATTTTCAATGAACTTAAAATTAATTAGAGGTCAAACCTGGATGTCAGTGATTGTCTTGGGAATTTTGTCTGAGAAAGAAGCCTACTGTGCTTTAATCTTTTGGCCTTATGAATTAAATCTTTTCTTACAATTCACCATTATCAGTTCACGAATTGCCCATACCGATAGCCAATAAGAAATTTTACCCCTGCTTTCTAAACTCCTTAAAGACAACATGCATGAAGGGAAAAAAAGTCCTTTACTAGATCGAGCTCTTCCTTTCACCATTATATACACTTTGATGCAAAGTAAATAGGATTGAGGATGAAGAGGGAATAAAGATATGAGTGGAAGGGGGAGGGTATAGCTCAAGTGGTAGAATGTGTGCTTAGCATGCAAAAGGTCCTGGGTTCAATCCCCAGTACCTCCTCCAAAAACAAATAAACCTAATTACCCCCCCCACCCCCACCAAAATAAAATAAATAATACAATAACAAATAAATAAAATATATTTTTAAAAAGATATGAGTAGAAAGAGATTTGTAAGTATGTTCAACATGCACTTCTTGTTTTGGATATTCAGGTGGAAACTACTAAGTACAGGTGTGCTAAGTCTTTAGTTTCTACTACAGTATTGACATTCCAGTTTACCTAACCTTTAGCATACTGAAATTTGAGCTTTTAAGATGATGTCTCTTATGGTTAACAGCATCCCTCAAACATAAACACACACATAAACATGTACACACATACATGCACCACACACACAGAAGCACAGACACACATACATAGTCCTGTGTTTCACAGAAATCCTTTCTTCAATCTCTTAGGATAGGGCAATTTAAGGTAAATTATAGGAATGAGCAGATTGGTCCATCTGTAATGTCAACACTGAGAATGCAAATATAGTAGGAGATTTTAGACACGTTAAGATTTTTCTTTTATTATTGATGAAAATCAAATGACAGCTGAATATGTTTCCATTCAGGCTGGTGAAACAGAGTTAATGTCAATGTCAGGATCTGTCTATCTTCACTCTCAGTCATGGTTACAACCATTATGTTAAAATAAGAAGTCTTTACATTTGCAGTAGGTACCTCATTTACTTCCTTTTATAATCACTCCCATTACAGTCACAACTACCCAACTCTGATGTAACAATTCTCTTTGCAGTCATGTAATCTCTAAGACAACACTTAGCACCCTGAACTGAATGTGTGCTAGGTACCAGGAAGTGTCCAAAGCTGCTTGGTGGTCAGGGGGACAGCGGTAGTCTGCCACCCAACACTCCTCACCCCATCCAGAAGACTTTCGTTTCTCTTTCCTCTGTAAACAAACACAATATTTCATTGGCTCAAGCATAAATCTAAAAAGAGAATGTAGCTTTACAAATTCCAAAGCCAGACGATGGCTGCACAGAGGACATATTTTAGGAGCTGATTTGCAGCTCTTACATAGTTTTGAAGGCAAACTAGCAAGAAGGAACATCTCCATGCACTCCAGGCAATAGCTGTGTTTAGACCACTCCCCACCTAATGAAACAATATATTTCATGTCAAATTAAGCAACAGTCTGCGTTAATACAGACTGACAACTGTTGGCATTATAGTCTGTGTGCAAATAATATCAAAGGCTAGGTGAGAAACTGGATCTTTTGGGATAACCATCTTTCATGTCAGATGATTCCCAAGAATGTGAGTGTGATCACATGATGCTCTCCTGTTCACAAGCTGTGTAAGCTGACTCTATACTGTTCTTTACCATATGCACCTTGATATGTTTCTAGCTATTGAACTTTTAATAGCCACTGGTGTTCTCATGCTTTTAAATTTTCATTAATTACATTAAAAATCAAGTGCAAGTTTGAATTCTCTTAATTTCCTGTTACTCTGAAAGCACGTTCTGACTTTTCAGATAAGATGATTTCATTCCATTAAGATCAAACTTACTCAAGTTTCTGATAACTGAGTCTGCACTAGAGAATAAGAGGGAAAGAAATAATATGATTTATGAGAATGAGACTTTCCCATGAAGGTAACTTTGCAAACTGGAATCTCCCAGCTTTCCCTCTCCTTACCCTACATTTATAGCAGTCAAACCTAAATCCCCTCCATTCACTTATTTATTCATTGACAATCATTTACTGAATGCTAACACTCTGAACACTGCCCTAAACAACGGACATGTGTAGATAAAAGACAATTCCCAGTCTTAAAGACATTGCGGTCTGATGAGGAAGACAGACAAACTATTTAGACAATGGGTGATACCAGTATGACAGGGGTAGCCCCAGGGTGCTTCATGAGCATAGAGAAGAGGGCTCACACCCACCAAGGAGGAGGAAATAAGAAAGGTTTCCTTGGAGAACAGAAGCTGAGGATTTTAGAGTAGCAAGATATCTTAAACATCCTGTAATTCAACCTCCCTTCCATAGGCTATAGAAATTCTTTCTACAAAACATATAACCAAAGTTTCATCCTGTTTCTGCTTTACTAGTTCACAGATGAAGCGCTCACTGCTCTGCAGGAAAGTTCCTCCCACTATTTGGTGGCTCTCACTGTTATTAAATGATTTCTTTGGATGAGCCAAACTTTTTCTCCTTATAACCCCATTTACCAGCACCCCACCACCTTTCACTCCAAAATGTAATTAATTCCCTCTTTACTTTTTCTTTGTCTCACATATTTGAAGACAGTGATTATATCCTCCCTATTTAGCTCTTCAGATTTAAATATTCCCAGTTTCTTCCAATGTTCTTCGAATGAGAGAACTTGCAAGTCACCATATTTATCAAAGTATTTCACAAAGCGTGAACCCAGACCTGGTTACAATTCTGAAGTTATGACTGGGACATTGTATTTGTATTAATTCAGTCTACAGTTGGATCTAATGTTTAATCCTTGGCTGGAAGGCCCTCACTTTTCCTGTACCCCAAGAGCTTTTAGAACACAAACCATTCTTATCCTAAAACTACCCCCCAAATCCTTTGACTACATACTCTTTTTAAAAACATCGTCATACTCCCAGGCACCTAGACATGAAATCTTGAAATCCTAAGTGGATATTTATTATATCTCACTTGGACAATTTAAATGGCTGCCACCTGGTCTTTCTGCCTTAAATTTCTCCCTGCTCTAATCCATCCTTCAGCTGCCACCACAGTAATCTTCATAAGGAGGGCTCCGATCATGTCATTCCAAACTGGTATATACTGTGTATCTTCTTAAACTTCCTCTCCACTTCTAATGGAAAGTTTTAAATCTCTTAACCAAAAATTTATATTTTTACTTGCAGCACTCTATTCATAATCCTATTATACCATTTGTGTGATACCTGTACAATTATATTTAACTCTCAGTGAATACTCCAAGTTCACATTATTACTCATGTTCTGTATCTTGGTATAGAACTAACTATCCAGGGCCCAAAACATTGTTTTTTACTATCTGCTTTCCCTCCCATAATTGGGCACTTTTCTGATTTTTTCTTCAAAGGTCACAACTGTTATTATTTATAGTAACAATGAAGTTATGTATCATAAAAGAAATATAAATAAAGTGCTACAGGAGTTCCAGAAAGAAAGAGATTGCTTCCAGTGTGACAGACAGAAGTAGTCCCAGGACAGTCTTCACAGAAGAGGCAGAATTTGAATTGAGCCTCAAAGAATGAATAGGCTTGTTGGAATTTGCAGAGAATAAAGTGGGAGTGGGCAAAGAATTTTGATAGGTTCAATTGCCAAAAATATAAAGTACATGAGAAAAGGGAGAAAAAGTCCTAACAGGAAAAAAGGGATCAGATCTGAGTATACTTGAATGCCAAATGGAGGCATGTAATGCCATTGAAATGACAA